TCTCTCTCTTTCTCTCTCTGTCTGAAACAACCCACACTTGTTGACTGAGAAGAATATTCAGAGAGCAATGTTGTGGCATTCATATTCATTTGATAATCTAAACTGAGGTTATACTCTCAACTGCTCACCAACCAAGGTGCCTCTCAGACTGATTCAAAGCCACCGGCGCTCTAAATCTAAATCGTCGGTGGATTAGCAAAGCAAAAGGTCATGTTCAATCCACAAAACCACACACACACACACCCACACAAACACTTTTCCACCACATTTTGGAGCCAGAGTCTTAGTCCCAGTACGGTTCACTGGGCAAGTACCAAAGGAAGAGGAACACAGCAAACGATTTAGCTCTTAAAACATAGAGAGTAGATGAGAGACAGACAGCATGAGTTGGAAAGACAGACAGGGTTCATAGAGAAAAGAAGAGAGTGAGACAGAAAGAGAAAACGGCAGACAAAATGTGTATCTAGGGGAGTTGGTGTTGGGGTGAGGAGGACATAAAATCAAGTCCATTCTGCGTTATATCCACAGGATTCATTGCTTATTTATCAGTTGTTATACAGAGACAGAGAGGGTGGGGAATGAAAAATTCAGACAGCAGGCATGGCCTTTTCTCCTTTTAGAAATCGCAAGATTACACACACTGGGCGGTAATGGCTCCCGCATGCAGTCATGTGTGCGTGAAACAGAGAGGGAGAGATTTGTGGAGGATGGCTATTTCTCCGCATCTCTGACACAGCAATTAAGCATCTGTGTGAGTGTGTATGTGTGTGGGTGTGTTATTGAATCACATAATCTAACTGCTGCTATATATCTCTGAGTTATGTTAATTATGTACAAATGTACAAAGATCCTGCAGTATATACAGGGTTTGTTTGTTTTAAATGTCAAATTAAATATAAAACCCGCTGTTACTGTGAATGTGAGCAATGGAGAAGTGTCTGTTCTTGACGTTGGTTGTACTTTTAAATTTATAGGAAAGAGCTCCAATGAACTACCAACCTCTCCAAGCTTGGACAGCTTGTGTTTATATTTGACAGTCTGAGTAATGTCCATATTGGTGGTGAGGGGTCTCGGGCACACCAAAATAAAGGATTGAAATATTGCCAAGGAATGTTCTGTATATGTTCTGCAACACAGTAGCATTACAGAAATTGAGCAGCAGTCTTTGTTTATGCTCAAGAACGGTACTGCTGTCAAGTTTACTATATTCTAGTCTTCTTCAAAGCAGACTTTAAACTTGTCACATCAGGAAAAGCATGTTCTTCATCCATTGTATTCAAGTCTTCAAGTAAATCAATACCAATACCAGGACCCTGAAACTGAAGCAGATGGAATCACTCATTCATCTTAAACTTTATTATCTACTCCTGTGCTTTTCCTGCTGTAACATGTAAAAAATCTGTGAAAAGAACATATTGAGCACTCAATACACAGTATTGACTTTATTTACTACCACTGAGTTCACATTTGTAGTTTGATGTTCTTTTTAAAATCAATTTTCTTAAGAAACGGCAAACAATTGAAGAAGAGAAGTGGTTGGAATCTCTGGAAAATGGTAGTAATGTGACCTTGAAATTAGTTTCTTATGTCAAACTACTCTTTCCAAGATAAAGAATGAGTGACGAATGAAACGCTCAACACATTCGTATTTTCTTGGACTTGTGACAGTTCTAAGCCAATTTCATGTCTTTTTCTGTACTGATCATTTTTTGTGTTCTTTTGTGTGCACAAAAACCCACACAGAAAAAAGCAGGTAAATAACCGCATTTCATTGTCCACAAACATTTATATTAGGGCTATAGAGAGAAGCAGGATTTTATAAGAGGGAGGAGGTGGAATAGGAGGCGGCGAGAAAAGCAACTACAGGGAAAATCTGAGCAGGAGAAGAGCAAGGAATGGGAATGAGAGGAGGTAACAGGACAGGAGATTGAAACAGCAAGATAACAAGAGGAGAGGAGGAGAAGGGTTAGGAAGGTTTGGTTTGCAATGTTAGTTGGAAAGCCTTGTATCATGTTCATAATTCATGGAATCCCAGCCGCTTCTCTGTATACTGCAACTAAATTCCACTGTTGGGGAATTATGGCCAGGGACCATAAAATAGGCACACACATACACACACACACGACATGTAGTAGAGAATAAGGGAGGGGGGGGATAGCAGAGGAACAGGAAGAAGTGAAAGAGAGAGAGACTACAAGAGATGCAGTGGAAACACAGAGTGAGAGAGTGAGAGAGTGAGAGAGAGAGCACACTGCTGCAGGATGAGGGGTAGATGAGGGGGATGATTCAAAGCATGTCATAAAACATCGATACACCTCCAAAGGCCGTGCTATGAGCTCTGCTTACACTGGAGGCGATTATGCCTCTAAATAATTCACATAGCCTGCACAACCGCTTATTCATACAAATACAAATACAAACAAAATGCAAAAACACATAAACACACACAAAAATGTATACTGCTGCAGTGCACGTGGACAGGACATGTATATACTTTATGCTTTATGCCATGTGTTTTCATTTAAATACAAATATTGGAGGTTTGTTGGAGTAAAACTAAGAGACAACGGTCAGAAGGAAAAGATTTCTGTTTATATTTTGCTAGTCAGACCAGCATCCAGATCCTGGGTGAAAGACCCTCAGCTAGAAAGCAGCTGATGGATTGTTAGGCTGTTTTAGTTATGATGCAGACTCTTGCTGAGCTACACAATATCAGCAGTGATGGAAGAATATTGTCACAAACCTCACTTTCACAACAACATCTCAATCAAAACAGTATTGATAGATAGTCCCACATCAGGTGTAACTGGAAGTTACTTTTGACAGAGCTAGCAGTTTACTCACGCTTCCAGTCTCTGAGCCAAGCTACAGTACGTTAACCATGTTCCAGACCTGAAACTAAGATGCAATGTTGTGAGACAAGTGGTCCTTGTGTCATTACAGGTAAATTATGGTGACTGTAAAGAGAATCAATAATTGATATTCCAGCCAATTTACCTTGTGGGTGGAATGCTAGTGTGACAGTAATTCCTTGTTGCAATTCGATGTCGAAATAAGTGGGAGTTTGAATGTATCCACATCAAAGGGAATCCGTCATAATCGGAGAGGTTTTCATGTCTGAAGCAGTGCTGTTGTATTAATGCCATCACAAAATGGCTATTCATGTCTCTGCCAGGGAGGCCTCGGTTTGATATCAACTCCTCT